GAGAGCGAGTAAGGGTGAGATGATGAGAATGAGAGTGAGTGAAGCTAGTAAGTAGGAAGGTAAGTGAGTAGAGGGGGAGTGATTAAGTAAGTGATAAGTGAATGATGAGAGTGGAAGTAATAGAATGAATTGAAGTGAGAGTGGAGAGTGGAGTAGAGAGTGAGAGAATCAGAATGAAGAGTAGAATGAAGTGAGTTAGGGGTGAATGATAGAATGAGAGGAGGAGAGAGTCGAAGGAGTGAGATGTGAAGTGATGAGAAGTGAGAGTGATGAGATGGAAAGTGAGTGAGATACTAGTTGAAAGGTGAGAAGTAACGAGAGTGGTAAGGAGTGAAATGAGACGTGAGTGAGAGTGAGAGGAGTGAGAATAGAGTGAATGAGAGTTGAGAGTATGAGATGTGAGATAGTGAAGGTGAAGTGATAGGGCTTGAAAGAGTAAAGGGCGAAAGGAGGTGAGAATGATGAGTAACGAGTGAGAATAGGAGTCGTGTGTGATTGGTGTTGTGTGTGTGTGTGTGGTGGCGTTTGTGCACTATGGGGTGTGTGTTGGTTGTGTTGTTGGTGTGTAGTTGGGTGTTGTAGGGTGGTTGACATGGTTAGGGTCGTGTATGTGTGAGGTGTGTGGTTGTTAGGGGGGTGTTGTGTGGTAGGTGTGTGTGGTGAGTTAGTTGGATCTGTGTGTTGTGTGGGATATGTAGGGTGGTTTGTGAGTGTTGTCTGTAGTGTGTGTTTTTGAGTGTGTGGTGTGTTAGGTGTGGTGTGTGTGTAGGTGTGTGTTGTGGTGGGTGTAGTGTGTGTGTGTGTGGTGTGTGTAGCTAAACATGTGGTGTGGTGTGTGTTAGGTTGTGGTTTGTTGGTGTAATTGGGTTTTTTTTTTGTTTAGGTGTCTGTGGTGTCGTGTCGTGTAGTGTGGTGTTTGTGTGTAGTAGTAACCTCTGTGTGGGGGTGATCTGTGTGATTTGTGTGGTGTGTTGATGTGTGTGGTGTGATTGTGTGTGTGGTAGGTGGGGTATTGTGTGTGTGTAGGATACCATACTGTGTTGGTGGGTTGTTAGGTAACTGTTTGTGTCGCTTGTTGGGTGTAGGCTGTGTGTGTTGTGGAGGTATGTGTGTTGTTATGCACTGTGTGGTGTGTTAGGTTTGTTGTGTTGTTTAGTGTTAGGGTGTGTGGAAAAGTTGTAGGGTTTGAATGGTTAGGTGTGGGGGTAGTGGTTGTGTGGTTTTAGTGTTGTGGTGTGTTAGGTGTTGGTGTGTGTAAGGGTGGTGGTTGTAGTTGATAATGGGGTGTTAGGGAGAGTGTGTGTTGTAGGGGTGTGTGTACGGGGGTAGGAGTGTAGGAGTGTGACAACTATTGTGGTGTTAGGGCATAGTGTCAGGGAGTGTGGTGTGAGGGATAAAAAATGTGAGTGTGGGTTAGGGGAGTGGTGTGGGTAGGGGGAGGCTCTGTTGTGTGTAGTGGGAGGTAATGTGTGTTGTAGCGTGGTGTGTGTAATGTGTGTAGTGTGGTGTGTGTTTAGCTGTTTGTGTGTGTAGGGGTGTTGGTTGTTAGGGTGTGGTGTGTGGGGTTAGGGTGTCGTTGGTGTGTGGTGGTTGTGGTGTTAGGTTTTGTTGTGTGTTAGCGTGGTTTGTGTGTGGGTGGGTGTGTTAGGGTGTGTAGCTGTTGTTGTGTTGGTGTGTGTGGGTGGTGGGGGTTTGTGTTTTTAGGTTGTGTGTTGTGTGTGGGCAATCACGGGTGGTGCTCACAAACATATTTGTTTAGGGAAAAGTTGTGTGTGTGTTCTGTAGGGTGTGGTGGGTGTTATGTGTGTAGGGTGTGTGTTGTTGATGTTGTGTTGTGAGGCGGTGTGTGTGTGTGTTAGGGTGTCTGTTGTGTGTAGTAAAATAACAGGTGTTGTGTGTGTTGCATTTGTTAGGGTTGTTTGTGGTGTTGAGGTTGTGCTGTTGTTAGGTGTGCTGGTGGGGGTGTTGTAGGTGTAGTCGTTTGTAGGTGGGTGTAATTGTGGTGGTTAGGGGTTGTGTGGGTGTGTGTGTGGTTAGGGTGGGGTGTGTTGTTGTGTAGGGTGTATATCTTGTTGTGTGGTAAGGTTGTGGTGGTGAGTTATGTGTGTGTGTAGGTGGTGTGTGTAGGTGTGTGTGTGTTAGGGTGTGTTGCTGACTGTGTGGTAGGTGGGTTGTTTTATAGGTGTGTGTGTTGGTGGTGTAGGTGTGTGTGAATGTGTTGGTAGGGGTGGTTGGGTGGTGTAGGGTGTGTGGTGTGTGTACGGGTTGTTGTGTGTAAGGGGACTATGTTGTTGTTAGTCTTGTTGTGATGGTGATGTTAGGTGTGTGTGTGGGTTAGGTGTTGGTGTTAGGGTGCATTGTCGTTGTGTGTGGTTGGTGTGTTAGGTGTTGTGTTGTTGTGTTAGGTGTGTGTTTGTGTGTTAGGGTGTGGTTGTGTGTTGTAGGTTGTTTGGTAGGGTGTTGTTTAGGGTTCACGGATGCGGTGTGCACTTTGTACGTGGTGTGCACGTGTTACTCGTGTGCACGGTGTACGTGTGTGTGCAGTGTTACGGTGTGTGCACGTTACGTGGTGCACGTGTACGTGTCGTGCCCTGTGTACGTGTGTGTGTGCACTGTGTACGTTTGCACGTGGTGTGTGCACGTGTGTACGTGTGCACGTGTGTGTGCACATGTGTTACGTGTGTGTACGTGGTGAGTGTGTACTGTGTTGTGGACGTGTGTGTGTGTTGTTGTGTGTGTGTGTGTGTGTGTTGTGTGTGTGTGTGTGAGAGTGAGAAAGAGAGAGAGAGAGAAGAGAGGAGAGAAGAGAGAGAGAGACGAAGAGAGAGAGAGAGAGAGAGAGAGAGAGAGAGAGAGCATGAGTTTTATAAAAGCATAGACATGTATAAATATTTGCAAATATTCACGAAGACAGTCAGGAATACGAATAATCACAATTTATCAAAATGAACACAACAAAGCCCCCAAAAGGAGCGAACTACACAACCCCTTACAACAGAAATACCCAAACTCCCAGTATTTTCAAGAGAAGAAGCAGAAAGGCCTTCCTTTTCTGCAGGGTTTTCAGCAAGGGCCAGCAGGCGTGCTCGCCCCGTCTCATCGATCCCGAGAAAATGAGAATCCCAAGCTTGTTTACCATGGACACATGCTAGTTGGGACCCCACCCCCGAGGCCACAGTTAACCGGTAGTTCAATTGCTAGTTGGAATTCCCCCAGCTCAACCCACACCCCATGGCCACAGTTAACGGATAGTTATATTGCTTGTTGGAACTCTCCTGCTTAACCCCCACCCCATAGCCAGTTAACCGGTAGTTCCGTTGCTTGTTGGAACTCCCCCCCCCTCCCCACCTCATGGCCGCATTTAACCCATAGTCCCACTGCTAGTTGAATCTCCCTAATACAAGCCCTCACCAGCCCACCCTACCCCTATCCCTCGCTGAAAGGCGACCTATCATCAGCGTCTGTGACCTTGGCTGCCTGACGCCATTCACACTGTCTGGCTGTCCTGAGGAGCGACACTTTCTCATGTGCCTCCCCCCCCCCCCCGAACCCTACCGAAGGACAGACAGACAGACTCGATATCCAGCGAGAGCACACCGACAGCGGCGGCAAACTCGCTCCCGCGCTATCCACATCCGGGTCGAATCTCAGTGAGCACCCAAAGATGCAGTCGCAGCTGTGCGTACTGAGGCAGAGGCGGTAGAAAAGGAAAAGAGGAAGAAAAAATATAGAAAGAAGAGCAGAGGAGGAGGAGAAGAGAGGAAAAGGAAGAAGGAAAAGGAAGAGAGAAAAGGAAGCAGGAGAGGAGGAGGAGAAGAGGAAGGAAAAAGAAGAGGAGAGGAGGAGGAAAAGGAGGGAGGAGAGGAGGAAAAAGAAGGAAAAGTTGGAAGAGGGGAGGAGAAAGCTCGGAAGGCCGTTTGGCAGTTCATCCGGGTGAAAACAAAGCTAGACACCAAAATGACAAACCATTTGCGCGCTCGCACACCAAATATATTTTGAGATCATTATCGTTAGTAAAAAGAAATGCAACCAATTAAGTATACATTCACTAGATTCCCGACCCTCAAAACCTTTCAAATTACAGCAAGAAATGGGCACATTTTGGACATGAAGCAACGCCGCGTTGCCCGCCCTACGTGCGCTGGATCAAAGGCGGAAGAGCATAAGGCCGCGGGAGGTCCAGGCGGCGGTGCAGCGCGCGGATTCGCTCAATTAGGACTCGCCCTTGCCTGCTGTACGGGCCGTCGCGCCAGTTATGAAACCAAGGCGAGTGTCGCTGTCGAAGGCGTGAGTGCTGGCGTCGGAGGCTTTCGGCGACGGGGAACGGCAGAGCTAACCGGAATGTGTGGCGCCACCGAGAACGCGTCGAGGTCAGAGGAGTGATG